TTTTAAAAAGATTTTATTTAGGGGTGCCTGGGTGGCTCAGTCGGTTAAGCTCTCTCTGACAAATTAAATAAATAAAAGAGAGAATAAGCAGGGGGAGCAGCAGGCAGAAGGAGAAGCAGGCTCCCCACTGAGCAAGGAGCCCTATGTGGGACTTGATCCCAGGACCCTGGGATCATGACCTGAGCTGAAGGTAGACGCTTAACTGACTGAGCCACCAAGGCATCCCAGATTCCAAAACACTTACAGAAGTATCAGTACTAGATACCATTATTTACTCCTAAAGTAGCAAATGGGAGTGAGTAAAAAATGTAGATGGGCTAGAGTTGGATGAAGAAATTCACATAATATCTACTTATCAAGAATAAAGAAGACAATTCATTTGACCTTCATTCTTGGGGAAATGGGTCTTTCTGTTTATTTTTTAAAGATTTTATATCTTTATTTGACAGAGAGAGAGAGAGAGAGAGCACAAGTAGGCAGAGCGGCAGGCAGAGGGAGAGGGAGAAACAAGGAGTCCTATGTGGGACTCGATCCCACGACCCTGAGATCATGACCTGAGCCGAAGGCAGACGCTTAACCAACTGAGCCACCCAGGTGCCCCTTTCTGTTTATTTTTTAAAAATAATTCATTAGTTTAGGATAAACCTCTTAATCACTTTCTGGTTTGATCATTTTTGTTGAAAGAATTTTGATACATAACTACCCAGTTCACCTACTTTAGTGCATTTGGTAAGAAGCATAAAATTGTTTATTGATCTGAAAATGCTTTAACTTAATTCTGGTAAGGATTTAGCAATAAATTACTGTTTAAAGGTTCATTAGCTCTTTTAGCCCAGTAGGGCACCCAGCTTTATAGTCATATTAAATAGCTCTCTTACAAAATGAATTTAACATACCTGCAAAAAGTATTTTACTTCCTATTCAACCCTAGTATGCTTTTTGGAGTTAATACACTTGCAGTCTGAATCTGGGATTGGAGTTAGGTTGTGTTTCTTGTTAATTACATGACCTAAGTCAAATTTCCCAAACTTGAAATTGCAGCTTTTTTAATCTGGAAAATAATAATATATATTTCACACAATTATGGGAATGAAATGAAAAGAGGTAAATTTTAGAAAATTAGACACACATGGTGCTTGGCACATAGTAACAATAAAGTACTATTACTAGCCTTTCTATAACAACATAGTCTAGTATTTTAATCTCTCTCAAAGGTCTTCTCAAATCCTTTAATCTTACCTCCAAACTTTATTACCAAAATTAAGGTGTGGCTATGTTAATAAAGGTAATGCAACTGGTGGGTAAGTGTAAGATTTTGAATACAAGTAGTTGAGAATCATATGATGATATCCTGGTCTCTCCGCATCTCCTTAACCCCCCTTCCTCATAAATGGAGCTTCTCAACCTAAGTTTCAAAACTTGTCACATTCTGTTACCATTTTGCCAATCCAAGCTCCTCTCCCTCTAGTCCCCAACTTTCTCCAGAGTGGATGCTTCTCCCTCTTTGGGCAGGACATGGATGTTTGTGATATATGCCTTCTGCTCAGACTGCATCTCTTTCTCTGGATTGTTTAAGTCCAGCAAAACTATCTCAGGCTTCTTGGATCTCAGGCTTCTTGGAGTCTATTAACTCATGGACTTATCGTCTATTCATTCATTTGTTTATATACTTACTCATTTATACAACAAATATCATGAGTCTACTATATAATATGCAATATGGACATTTAAAGTTAAAAAGAACACAGCCTTAGCTCTCCAAGAGTTCACAGTCTTATTTGAGAGATAGAGACATAGGTAAATATTTTACATAAATAATTTTTGTAAGAGTTACCACAACAAAGGTACATTCAAGGCATTGTGGGGGCACACAGGAGGAAGTGCCGACTCAGAGGAAGTTAAACAGGTTGATGTTGATCCCTGCTGGGTCTAGGATATATAGATATTCTAGAGATGTTCATGAGAGAGACATGTGGAGATAGAGGAAAGAAGAAAGGATTGGAGACAGAATGAACAGCATGGAAAAAGGCACATTGGTGAGGCAACAGTATGGTATTCAGGAACTGTTACTACCTCAGTGTGGCCGGGGCAGATGTGCTTGTGGGAGTGACAGAGAGTGCATCTGCTAAAACTGGCAGAGTTTTAAGTAGGAGGATTTATATCTTTTATTAATTTTAGAGAGGAGGATTTGAGAGAAGGGCCAGGTTAGAGTGGGGAAGACCATATAGAGTACAATGGTAATAGTTCAGATGAGAAATTGTGGAGTTCAGAACTAAGGCATTACTAGCAGGATGAGGTGACATATTCACATCCGTTTGGACAAGGGCTGGATCATATGGAAGCTAGAATGACTCCTGGGTATATGTCCTGAGGAAGTGGTTAATTATGATAATAATAATTGAGATTAATAATTCAAGAAAATGACTAGGTTATATGGAGTTTAATTTTGGGCAACCAGATGAAGATGTTTAGTAAGTGGCTGAAGTGGAGGCCAATTCTTTTTTCTTTAAATTTAGTTTAAAATAAGTATACATCTGTGAAACCATCACCACAGTCCATGCCATCCCCAAAAGTTTCCACCCACCTTTTTACTACTATGTTGTGATAGGAACACTTAACATAAGATCTACCCTCTTGGCAAAAATTTTAAGTATATAATTAACTATTGGCACTATGCTATCCAGCTGATCTCTAGGATTTATTCATCTTGTGTAACTGGAACTTTGTACCCTGAGGCCAATTCTTCAGTAAACATTTATTGCGAGCTTATCATGTATGATGAGACAAGTTATAGTTTTTATCCTTAAAGAGGATATCATGAATGGAGAAAGAAATAAGATTGTAATATAGAAAAGTTCTAATTGCCTATGAACTGGGTTGTGGGAGAGTGTGGCAAAGAGAGAGAAAAGCTCAAGTGTGGGTGGTTGGTGAGGTCTTCACAGGACAAATGATTCTGGAGTTTAAATACAATTTTTACAGACAGGGTGGGCAAGATACAAATTATATTCTAGGTAGAGAACAGAAAAGTTACTGAGGCGTGAAGGAGCATAGAGCCCTTAGTGAATAACAAGTCTCCATGTGGCTGGAAGGTACAGCAAGTGAGTTTATAGGTGCAACAGTGTGGACACAGGCCCTTGGGTTCATGTTTTTTTGAGGCAGGACTTCAATTCAATTGGAACTTTCCTGCTCAAAGTTTTGCCAACAATTATTGCCTAGAACCATAGTTCTGAACAAACAATGCAGGTCAGGAAATGTACAACAATTTCATGAAACATCGGAAGCATTGACAAAATTGTTGCTCTCATTTAAACAAGAAGTATTTGTTTTGAGTTTTGACAAACTCAGGATCTTGGGTTGAATGATTAGTAGAACAGTTTATTGTGTGAAAGTTGGTTTTAAAATAATTTCCTTGCCTTCCTGTCACTTAACTTTCCAAAGTCTTCACTCCACAAGGAGAGGTTGTCTAGCGGTACAATAAGTATTTTTTTTAAATTTAATTCAAGAGTCAATTTCTTGACATTTATATTAGTCAAAAACATGTCCTGGCTTGTAATTACGAGTGAATACCAAATTGCTTTAGATAAGAGGAATTAGACTCTAACAGTTTATGAAACCCTGAAGACAAGGACTTCTTTAGAATCTGTCTCTTTCTCTCCTCCATCTTTATGCTTCCCCTTCTCACTTACATTGCCCTGTTTCTTGTGAAGCTTGGTTCCTCCTGGCCAGGGCATGTTTTCCCCCCAGTCCCTGAAGAATGTGAGTGAAGTAAAAATGGCAGATTTACAAGCAGAGGGAGCTTATAAAGAGTCAGCCAAAAAAAAAAAAAGAGTCAGCCAGCTCCTAAAACCATATGCAGTTTATGATGTATTCTTTAAAGAATCACACTGATTATTTACCTACCCAAATATGTAGTTCAACGTTAGCAAAGGCTTTTGGCTGTTAACCACTACTCTGTGATATCTTTCAACTGTAAAATAGTTAAATTCAGTTCCACAAAATTTTATTCAAATACCTGCCACATACAAGGCGTGGTGCTGGTGAACCAGGAAAATGAATGTAAACTTTTTTCTCTTCCTTCTCCCTTTTCTTCTTCTTCTACTTCATGTAATTTGAGAAACTAATCGTCATAAAGATTAGTTACTGGTGTGGTCACATGCATTATAAAATACCAAATCATTGGATGAATTATGTCTGACCAGTTTTTGATTATCTGTAGGCACATCTTATTTATGGCACAATCTCCTTTTGTAATTTAGTACTCGATCTCCAGTCATAGTTCTAGCCTGGGCATGGGTACCCTGCCATCTGCCACAAGCCTGTAGCAGTTGATTGGGATGGCTCAACTCTTTCAAGTCATGTCCTTTCAAAACTTGGATATATTATCTGTATTTTCAAATATATTTCCTCTTGGTATTTATTTAATCATATGAAATATTTCTCACTTGGATGACTTTATAATTTAAGAAATTCCCAGTCATTGAATCCCTAGAAAAGGAAAATGTTATTTGAATAGGAAAGGTCTTACATACATGAATAATATTAATTTGATGAATTCTGAGTGTCTAGGATTGGGAGAACTTTTAATTTTGAATGCTTATGCTTATGTTTGTGTCAGTAAATGTACTTTTAGGAAAGGAAATAAAGTGGAAATGATAATGTCATGTAGTCATTGTAGCTTTTCAAATTTGCCTAATATCTTACATAGCCTTTCCTAAATAACCATTTATTGCCTTTTATTACTATTTCAGCTCATTTATTCAGTTCAGTTGTGTCCACCCATAAATGATTTAGAAAGAAAAATATAATTTAAACATAGTTATTGGTATGGATTTGCTTTATAGTTATTTTAAAAGTAACTGTGTCCTGAAATTCAGCTATACCCCTGCCCCCCTCTGCAATTTTTCATATACTGTGTATCTTGAATACTTCTGAAAAATGTTAGAAATGGGATAAATCTAGAATTGAATTCTGATACTTATTTTAACCTTCCTTTCTTTTAGACACTCTATGAAGTTATGTGGAAATGAGAGAGATTCATGAAACCCCTTCACCAGGAGAGAATGTCTTTCATAAATGGAGCTTTGCTTCTGGTTTTCACAGGACATTGACACGGCAGTGGAGCCATGGCTGCCCTGCCTGCTATTTTCAATAATTCACGGAACATCTGAACAGAGATGCTTGCCTTGGATTTACAGATTTTCATCCCGATACCTTGTTTACTTCTTTGGGGCAGAAAAGCTTGCACTAATTGCTCTCCATGGTGGCTAATCTTTTCAAGAGCCTGATTTTACCTTACATACATAAGCTTTGCAAAGGAATGTTTACAAAGAAATTGGGAAATACAACCAAAAAAAAAGAGAGTCAGCAGCAGAAAAAGGATCAAGACTTTCCTACTGCTGGCCAGACCAAAACCCCCAAATTTTCTAATACCTTAAAAAACACTGTAAAGAAGATTGCAAAGTGTTCATCTACTCGCAACTTATCCACTGAAGAAGAAGAGGCTAATAAAGAGTTTTCCCTCTCACCAACATTCAGTTACCGAGTAGCTATTGCCAATGGCCTACAAAAGAATATTAATGTAACCAACAGTGATAATGAGGATCGGCTTCAAGAGTTATCTTCAATTGAGAGTTCCTATTCAGAATCACTCAATGAACTAAGGAGTAGTACAGAAAACCAGGCACAATCAACACACACAATGCCAGTTAGACGCAATAGAAAGAGTTCAAGCAGCCTGGCTCCCTCTGAGGGCAGCTCTGATGGAGAACGCACTCTACATAGCTTGAAACTAGGAGCGTTACGCAAACTGAGAAAATGGAAAAAGAGTCAGGAGTGTGTCTCATCAGATTCAGAGTTGAGCACAATGAAGAAAACCTGGGGAATAAGAAGTAAATCTTTGGACAGAACTGCACGAAACCCAAAGACAAATGCCCTGGAGCCAGGATTCAGTTCCTCTGGGTGCATTAGCCAAACACATGATGTCATGGAAATGATCTTTAAGGAACTTCAGGGTATAAGTCAGATTGAAACAGAACTTTCTGAACTACGAGGGCATGTCAATGCTCTTAAGCATTCCATTGATGAAATCTCCAGCAGTGTGGAGGTTGTACAAAGTGAAATTGAACAGCTACGTACAGGGTTTGTCCAGTCTCGAAGGGAAACCAGAGACATCCATGATTATATTAAACACTTAGGTCATGTGGGTAGCAAGGCAAGCCTGAGATTTCTAAATGTCCCTGAAGAAAGATTTGAATACATTGAAAGTGTGGTATACCAAATTCTAATAGATAAAATGGGTTTCTCAGATGCACCAAATGCTATTAAAATTGAATTTGCTCAAAGGATAGGCCACCAGAGGGACTGCCCAAATGCAAAGCCTCGACCCATACTTGTGTACTTTGAAACCCCCCAGCAAAGGGATTCTGTCTTAAAAAAATCCTACAAACTCAAAGGAACAGGAATTGGAATCTCAACAGATATTCTTACTCATGACATAAGAGAAAGAAAAGAGAGAGGGATACCGTCCTCCCAGACATATGAGAGCATGGATATAAAGCTGTCTACTCCAGAGCCCAGAAGCAAGAAGAACAATTGGCAGTCACCTGATGACAGTGATGGAGAGCTGGAATCTGACCTCAATAGAAACAGTTATGCTGTGCTTTCCAAGTCAGAGTTTCCAACAAAAGGAAGTACTTCCAAGTCAAGTTCAAAATCACACAATGCTAGAGCCAAGAATAAAACTGCTAGTAGCAGCAGAATTTCAAATAAATCTGATTATGATAAAATTTCCTCACAATTGCCAGAATCAGATAATTTGGAAAAACAAACTACAACCCATTATGCAGATGCTACACCCCTCTGGCATTCACAGAGTGACTTTTTCACTGCTAAACTTAGTCGTTCTGAATCAGATTTTTCCAAATTATGTCAGTCTTACTCAGAGGATTTTTCAGAAAATCAGTTTTTCACTAGAACTAATGGAAGCTCCCTCCTGTCATCTTCAGACCGGGAACTTTGGCAGAGGAAACAGGAGGACACACCCACCTTGTATGACTGTCTGCAGGATCAACATTTGAATGTGGCCGTTCAGGGTGTCCAAGGGCCGAGTGAAATTGAGAACACAGAAACTGTGGATAGTGGAATGAGTAATGGCATGGTGTGTGCATCTGGAGACCAAAGTCATTACAGTGATTCTCAGCTCTCTTTACATGAGGATCTTTCTCCATGGAAGGAATGGAATCAAGTAGAGCAAGGAGCTGACTTAGGTTTAGATTCATCCACCCAGGAAGTTTTTGACTATGACACAAACAGTCTATCTGATCAGCAACTAGATGTTTACAATAAAGACCTAGAAGACTTAGGAAAGTTCCACAGTGACCTTCAGGATGACTCTGAGAGCTATGATTTCACCCAAGATGACAACTCATCTCCATGCCCTGGGTTGGATAATGAACCACAAGGCCAGTGGGTTGGCCAATATGATTCTTATCAGGAATCTAATTCTAATGAGCTATACCAAAATCAAAACCAATTGCCCATGATGTATCAAAGTCAAAGTGAATGGCAAAGTGATGACTCAGAGGATGCCCCACCCAAATCTTGGCATAGTCGATTAAGCATTGACCTTTCTGATAAGGCTTTCAGCTTCCCAAAATTTGGATCTACATTACAGAGGGCTAAATCAGCCTTGGAAGTGGTATGGAACAAAAGCACACAGAGTCTCAGTGGGTATGAAGACAGTGGCTCTTCCTTAATGGGGAGATTTCGGACATTATCCCAATCAACTGCAAATGAATCAAGTACCACCCTTGACTCTGATGTCTACACTGAGCCTTTTTACTACAAAGCAGAGGATGAGGAGGACTATAGTGAACCAGTGGCTGATAATGAAACAGATTATGTTGAAGTGATGGAACAAGTCCTTGCTAAGCTAGAAAACAGGACTAGTATGACTGAAACAGATGAACAAATGCAGGTATATGATCACCCTTCGTATGAAACACTCTATGAAACCCCACAAGATGAGGGTTATGATGGGCAGGCAGATGATGTTGTTAGTGAAGGGGGATTGGAACCATTAAATGAAACATCAGCTGAAATGGAAATAAAAGAAGATGAAAACCAAAACATCTCGGAACAGCCAGTGGAAATCACAAAGCCAAAGAGAATCCGTCCCTCTTTCAAAGAAGCAGCTTTAAAAGCCTATAAGAAGCAAATGGCAGAATTGGAAGAGAAGATCCTGGCTGGAGGTACTCATGTTTACATGCTACATTTTGAGCTAGTTGTATTTTAACATTGGGTGGTGCTTCTTTAGAGCATGTTTTGTGTTTACTCTTGGGGAAAAGAATGTATTTGCAAGAAATTTGCATGTTTATTTTGAGAAGGGTATTATTTTACTCTGCTCCCCCTACAAGTTGAGCTTGATGATTTAAAATCAAAGTGTTTTCAAGTAGGCCATACTAAAAGGAGCCCTACAGTCTGTGGATCAAGATTTCTCTGCTAGCATTGGTACAAACCCCACTTCATATTAACCAACTTTGTGGCATCAGTCATGAATAAAAGGGTCAGTAAAGTCAAAGAGCAGCCTGAGATTATTCTTTGGTTCTATTAGGTTTATAGGGATGAGGAAAATGGTGTAGTTAATCTTAAAGAATTAGGAAAGATGGACCCCCAGACTTACCAATCCCTTTCCCATCAAATCTATAGTTTGGAGCCTTCCAGTAGGAAGAGGTGGGTTTGCACAACCAACCCTAACTAGTCCCATGAAGGACCACTGCCTCCCTCACTGCTTATTGATGCAGCTGAGGGAGTACAATAGAGCCAAAACCTTAGGCCATCCTGAATGGTCATGAGTCACTCTTTAGTCAATATTGAGTAGAGTCAAGTTCCCCTTTAAAGAGTGGATTGGAAGTCTCTCTCCCCTTATGAAAATGAAAAGAGTACCTTATTCAACAATTTTACTTGATTTTTCTGGGGGAACAATTTTGGGTCACCCACGTGTGAAAATTAGCCACTTAAAAATGAAAACTTTTTTTTTTTTTTTACTTTTTATTTTCAATTAGACTTCACTCCCACTTACCCTGATCCCTTACAATTTACTTTATTTGCATGCTTATAACTTTATATCTCTGGGATAGTTTGATATTATCTCAGTTGTAATGAATTATATATTTTAAAGTTTTCCTTATTTATGGCACTGTAGTCTTTAACTGAAGTATTTACATAATATTTCATAAAGGTATATATTTATGTGATCAACTGGTACTTGCCATTATGAAATAATTTGAAATAATAACAATTTCTGCAGCCAGTACCTGATTATAGCATCTTTGTCTTGAACAGAATTGTGATCAGACACTCTTCCAAACTGGTCATTTTCTCATTGTTATGGGTAGATTCTTGAATAATCAGAAAACTTTATTGTTAAACTGTTTCAGGCCCTAAGGTTATTGAAATAGCAATTAAGATTATCTGCTCTAAAAAAAAAATCTGTCTATATAAAACAACACACCCTATGTAATTAAAGAATAACCTAAGTCAAAGGGATCTTGGGTGCATTGGCTGTGACTTTGTTGTTGGTTTCAGGAGGCAATTCTCAACTATATTTAAAACCAATGTGAAAGTGCAGAGTAGTCAAAATTTTATGCAAATAATAATTCATATTGGAATAATAGCTATCTTTTTTAAGAGTGATGTTTAATTGTTAGATATCCTTATTACTGAAACTCAGTTAATAGGATAAAGGCCAGCAGTTTGCCATTGTATTTTATTTGCTGTGGATTCAGAGAAGTCTACTCAAGAGCATATTAAGACTAACCAGTGTGTGTGCATGTGTGTCTGTTGTGATGTAATAGATGTTTTAATGCCAAGTGGTTAAAGTATCTGAAATATTAGGCAGTATTATAAAAATTACAAAAGTATACATTTCAGGAAAAAAGGGATCTTCATTAACTTTTAAAAATTCTAAATTAGCAAACATCTACAAAATAAATTGCTATTGGTATTGACCCTTCAAGTAGTTAACAACCTGAATCATCCAGTGGCACTTATCCTTAGAGAACAGAAATACACTTAGTTAACTACACATCACCAATTTAAGAATCCTAAAATAGGTAAAACAACATTGTACGATATACCTTACATACTAGCCCTGGCTACTGAGGACCTAGACCCCCCTCCACCATCTTGGAGCTTGGTTTGTTATCCTTGAGCCAGCTTTGAATGGAACTTGTTGGGGATCATCTATCCTAGAGGAAATCAGACACACATCCTTAAGATGCTCTTTGGTTGCTTGAAAGGCACCAGATTGACTACCCAGGAGGCTGCAGTAGCCTAGATTTTAAAGGCCATCTTTTCTCCCTTTGGCAGGAGTCAGGCAGTTGTCTCCCTCCTGTGCCACCAATATGCCTCAGGAGGAAGGGCAGCCAAAGAAGGGCATTTTTCAGGCCCCTTCACTGCTCAGAGCATCCCAATGAGGTGCCAATCGTCATGATGGATTTTGTGCCCAAGGCCATCTGCTTACTGGGCTTTGGGCAGATGCCAACAGATTTTTCTCTCCATGACTACCTAGTCGTCATTAGGTAGCAGTGTTATCTTTTCTCCATTACTAATCTGGCAAGATTCGACTATAGAGCTCTTGCTGTAAAACTCCATGGGATGCTGTTTCCCTGATAGAGCTTTATGGAATTATAAGCTCATAAATGTAAATTATTTCAGCTTTTGTCTTCAGGGGTCTGGTAAAGAAGAATTCTAAAGACCCCAATGTTTAAACATATGGATATTTGGTCATATTGTTTTTGAGAATCTTCACCTTGAATAGCATGCCAGTGGGAAAGAAATTTTGGAGCATGTGTAGCCAGAATTCCATGAGGTCATATTCTTCCCTTGTTGCTGAACCCTGCTGAGTGGTGCCTTTTGTGTAGCTAGCCTGAATCACACACCATGATAGTGACTCGGATCCCCCACCTCCAGCCCTGCACCACCCGTCAACTGGAATTAACTGTTGTCTCTTCTGAATTCCCAGATACTTGTCTCTTATGGCACTGGCTTCCACCTTACATAAGGACAGTTCATGCACATTTCTCATTTGCTCTTCTAAAGTAACCTAGGGATGAGAGGTTTGTCTTCTTTTTTCATTTGCACTGTGCCTAGATAAGTGCTTTATACGGAGTTGGCATTGAGTTAATATGTGTTGGATTAAACCCTGAATCAAGGGGAATAGGATACTAAACAAAAATAATAAAAAATACAACAGGCTTCAAAGTTAAGTCAAAATCTAAACTGTGGATTTAATTGCTAAGACTATGACTTTATATTTTGAGAGTTCAGAAGTATGGTTAGAAATAAAATATTATTATTATTATAGTAAATTTTAAAATTTGAGTATAGTTGACACATTAGTTTCAGGTGTACAACATAATGATTTGACAAGTCTATCCATTATGCTATGCTCACCACAAGTGTATCCATTATGCTACGCTCACCACAAGTGTAGCTACCATCTGTCACCATGTAATGCTTTTACAGTACCATTGACTATGTTCCCAATTTTGTTCAAGACAAAGATGCTGTGCCTTTTATTTCCATGACTTATTCATTCCATAACTGGAAACTGATATCTCCCACTCCTCTTCACCCATTTTGTCTATTCCTCCATCCCTCTCCCCTCTGGTGAACATCAGTTTGTTCTCTGTATTTGTAGGTCTGGTTCTGCTGTTTGTTTATTCATTTTTTTTTTTTTAGATTCCCTTATGAGTGGAATCCTATGGTATTTGTTTTTCTCATTCTGACTTATTTCACTAAGCATAGTACCCTCTAGGCCTATCCTTGTTGTCACAAATGGCAAGATTTCATCTTTTTTTTATGGCTGCATAATATTCATGTGTGCATGCACCAACACACATCCCACATCTTCTTTATCCATTCATCAATCGATGGGCCCTTAGAGTGCTTCCATTTATTGACTATTATAAATAATGTTGCAATAAGCAGAGGGGTGCATGTATCTTTTTGAATTAGTTAAAGCCTATTATTGAGTACTACTATATACAGATATTGTCCAGGCAGTTTCTCTGTTTTTATTTTTACTTCTTACAATACCACTATGAATTTGATTCCATGATTATTCCATTTTAAAGGTGAGGAAACTGAGATGCTGATAACTTGCATAACTTAATGTCTTACAGGTAGTAAGGGGTGGATCTAGAGTTAAAAAATGGTTATTTTGGTTATTTAGAGCAGCCGTATGCTTACTCACTTCAGAGATTGTTTATTCATGTTTTAAGGTGGAAAAACATGAAAAAGGGGCAGCATTAGCTACAGGCTTTTACAACTAAAGGGTTTTCTTTAAAAAACAGTAATAATACAAAAGGTACTAAGGTTTTGATATAAAATAGTTCATTCTCAGTTTTTCTGCTTTGAGTTCCTGGTACATCTTATAAATCAAGGCTTGTAGAGCCAAATAAATACTGTACAATACCAGCCCGAAGGATGATGTATTTGAAGTCTGAGTGTATTTGACCTGGAATTAGAGTCTAACATCAGTTTGAAGTAAATTTTCTTTAGCAGAACAAAAATCTTGTTTTGTTTTGAAATACCATTCCCAGGCTGTCTGTAGATTCTGAAAGAGACTGTGACATCTGTAATTAGCATAATTAATGATATTTTTACCATGGTGTGCATTTTGTTTTCTAGTAGTTGTAGAACTTTGTGGAAGTATTTTGGCTTCCAACAGATATGAAGTTGAATGTAAAATGTTTTCCTAAAGTTGAGACTTCATTACATTAGACTGGTGGTTCCGAGCCTAGCCAATTGTTGGAATCATCTGGGGAGCTTTCGTAGTACTTGTTGTTGTTCCCAACAAGAGTTGTTGTAAAATTATTAATTATTAGGATGCTGTCACTAAATGTTTTGATTTTGTGGTTCCGTAGTGGGGCCCATGGATCTTTATTCAAAACTGTATGTGTTATTGATGAATTATATGTGCCTTTGTAAATAACACACACACACACACACACATAAAATCCAGAAAATTCCAAAGGAAAAAGTAAAATTAACAACTTCTATTCTTCAGAGAAGAATAGAAAGATAGAAGAATAGAAAGATAATTTGTTTCTGACACTCTATAAACACACATACACTTCCTTTATTTTTAAATTTAACATAAATGGTATTACATTTCATATATTCATGTTCTGCACCTTGCTTTTTTCACATAATATATATTTGAAAGATCTTATTATATGATTAC